TCATCTGTAAGACTGACTGTCACAGCACCATGCCCTTTCTCAACAAGATCTTTTACCGAAACGTGTTGCCTGAGCAAAACCAAAATCAAATGCTTGGAAGGAGCACAGTGTTCAAATATCTGTAACTTAGGTAGCAGGGAACTAAAAATCTAAGCTATCATTTCACCCTCAATGTATCTGCTTCACTCGACATGTTGTGCATCCTCAAGATCGCGGGCTGCTGTCAGAGGATCTGCAGCTGTCGCTGCAACGAAGGCAAAGCTGTGCTGCCTGAGGACAGGGCCTTTAGCAATTTGGGGATGGGGAGGAGACACTTAGCAATTTTTTTTTTTTTTTTTTTTTTTGGAAATCACCAAAAATTGAGCTGTTTTCAACTCAAAAAAAAAAAAACCAAAACACATAACTCACTGTGTAATCAGACAATTTCACCCCAATCCTCAGTGGCCCCGCCGAAGTGTCCCCATCCTCCCTGCCTGGAGCTTACGCAGTACCCACGCCGTACCGTCGTCCACGGGGCTCTGCTGCTCACCCCATGCTGCTGCGTCTGGCCAGCCTCCAAGGTAGGACTGGCTGCAAGTGCGGCTTCTCGACGCAGAAACATGTAAGCAAGATCACTTTCAAGAGCACTACCTGAAAGAGTGGCCCTGGACACATTTACACAGGCAAATCCCAACCAGCTCTTGGTTTGACATTCTCACAACGTAGAACTCATTTTACCTATTACTGCAACACAGCTTAAGTCACACCTTTCTTGATCTATTTGTTTGCAAGAAGATATAAAACCATACTCAGCATAAACGGATACAAAACCTTGGTTCTTAGGCATTTAAACATTTCACAGGGAGACCTAAATGAGGAAGTAAACAAATCCGGCAGCCAGGAAGAAACGCTAGTGATACGCTGCACATCTGACACCGCTTGGTTGTTGGCTTTGGCAGCACACACAGCTTCTCTTATCAGCAAAGATACCTTTGAAGTGGCTGGCAAACTTCCATCTCATACTCAAACAAATAAGACCCTTCACATCATAACACAGCCCTGAAAACAGATCTCTTCATCATAAAACACAGATGGAAAAACTTAATTAGACAATGCCAGACCATGCAGTTTTCCTACCACACTGAAAATCTAAACATTGAGGACTGAAAATATAAGCCATTCAAAAGCTTGTATGCAATGCAGGCATAACCACTGGAATTTCTGAAGTTCATTGATTTTAAGAAAAACATGTTGGAGCTTGACTGTTAGCACTGCTGCACCCTTCTCTTAACACCTTCACCTTTCAGAGGAGCCCAGGAGCGCAACACGTGAGACTCTGTCTTGGCCTGAAGACTTCCCACCACAGGGCTATACTACCACTTCCAGCTGCTGGAAGAGACAAAATTCCCACTTTTCTAATGTTACAGATGCTCCTTCAGACAAAACCTCCAAAGCCAGCCCAGCTTCTTCACCCCTTGGATGCCCGGCTGCTGCAGGCTCGGGGACGCCAGCTGCGCCGCCCTCCCACCGCGGCCCGGCCGGAGGACACTGCTCCTCTCCAGCGTGGACCTTATCACACTCTCCCCGGCTGTCGCGGCCTGCTGGTGGGATTATCGCAGCACGCCACGCTTAGATCTCTCTTCTGAAGGAGCTCACCACTGCAGACAGTGCAAAATACAGGCTCGAGAGTTTAGCACCAAGGGGTCTCGAGGACATCCTTTAGAGCCTCCATGCCCTTCATCGCTCACCCACTTAATCCGGGCATGGTACAAAGTACTGATTCTAGAAAGCCCTAAATTGTAAGTGGCCCAAGAAAAAGACCTTACACTTCCGGATTTTATTTTGACCACCTGCAGCAGATGCGGATCTCTGCATCACTTTCCTCCCCATACTCCCTAGCATTATTTCCAATCCAGGGAGCAGCTCCTGAGTGTAAGATACTACAGAATTTGCAGTAAGCCAGAGACATGTATAGCAAACTACTACTATTTTTTTTTTTAAAAAGAAGTTCTGCCAAAGCAGAAGTTAAAAAGTCATTTTCCTCAGATTTTTCAAGTCATAGGTGTTATGTCATAACACTTCCACATATAATTGGGCAAATTTTCCACAGGAGGTTATACAAATCAGATTTGTATCGTTTGTTATATAAAATCAAACTTGCAGGTTTGCAATCAGGGGAAAGGACGGAGAATGTTCTTTTGGACCTTCTAATCAATATGACTATAAAGCCTCAGGCTTTATTTCAGGCTAGCAGCGTTCCTGACTTCTAGTTAAAGGTGTTTGTGTCCCCAAAAATATTTGCCATGCCTACGCAGGCTGTTGAGTCATCTCATTATTCCTTTTCAGTATCTACAGATCACTGCCTCTTAACGAACTGGAAATATTAGCTCGTGAGCTGCCATTTAGTACGCTTCCCCTTCAGAAACATGCATTGACGAGCTGCTTGGCAACCACCGCAGGACCAAGAACTACCTTCAGCAATGCCTCTACACTGATGCACCGCGGACTGACAGCTTTGGAAGGCTGCAGGTGACATCCAAATTAAGCAGCTTTTCTTAAAAAGACAATTGCAAAGGTCCAGGCATAGATACGTATCAATAGCGAGAAAGGCATCCTGGATTTGCCAGTGACTTGCTGAATAACTGGGCAAGTTGCTTCACCTGCTTGTCCCTGTTCTTTCATCCAGCAAAAGGTACCACACAGCCCAGAGATGCTGTGAACATTGTCTGTGCTGCTCTTGGCTGATACAGATGGCTACAAACTTGCTAAAAACGAGCTTTATAAAAATAAAGCTTTTTCCTTTTTTTTTTTTTTTAAACATGGAAAATAAACCTGTTCTAGCAGCTTTTGTACCAGTTTATACCTCCTGTTATGGCTCAGGAAGGAGAGAGATTCTCATGAAAAAGCACAAGAGGCAGCAGATCCAAGTTCAGCCAAATTTCTTCATTTTGCTGTTCCTATCTTACAAAACTATATGACTCTAGGTAGGAGAGGATGCAATTTTTGTTTTTACCCACCCAGCCTAAGTGGAATTGTAATGTAAAACCTGCCTTGGCCTTGAGCCAGCCTGGTATGCCTGGTACACAGGCAGGCAACAGGGGGCTGGAACCGAGTAACAAGCGCCTTTTGTTTGCACAAATTAATACGGAGTTTCCATTCGGTCTGTGAGAAAGAAATGGGGAAGGGGTTTTATGTTTGCTTGGCTTTTGTTTCTGTTTTTTAGTAAAGTCCTACTGCTCAAAATAAAATCAAATAGGGTAAGAGCATCCTTATACAAGGGACTGAAAATGAAGATGCTAGCGCTCGGCAAAGCGCAACGTTACCGCTTTCCGTGAACTTCCCTGCCGAAGCTTTTCCTCAGCCACCTCACTCAAGCACGGCCCTTGCCGAAATTCAGTGGAGAGACTACTTATCCATCGAAAGGATCAGAGGAATTGAAGAGTAACTGCCATTCAATAATCCCATGTAAGTATCTAATCAACTGTAATGTAATTGCCAGAAAGTTTTAAAAGGTCAGAAAGACCTTACTGTGATTTTACTCGAAAGAGAGAAGGCTCCTCCTCTACTTAGGAAATGTTTCAAAATGAAATAAAACAAAACCACAAAAAAGGAAAAAAGAGAAACAGAACGCAACCTTTTAATGTTTTTTCACTCTGTTGCTATCCAAACAGTACTCAAGAAATATGCACTGCAATGGCAAGGAACACAACAGTATACTTGCGCTTATTTTAATTCTAGTATATACATCAGTTGCCAGCATACCCAAAAAGCTGCTGTAAAAGGGCAAATAAATACCAGCCATTGTTCATTTTGTAACAATCTAAGCTGACTGTATTATATAGACTCTTTCTACCAGTTAAAGCAATGCAGAGATAGTAAACATCTGAACATTTTCCTCGAGACATTTCAAGAGGTTGTCAAGACCAGAGCGAAGAGCCAATGGGGCCTCCAATTACTGTCGAGACTGCACTTAAACAGATTTTAAACTCACACACACACAACTCACGCAACTGGTTTTTCATATAGCAACAACTGAGACCACCAAAGGCAAAAAGATAGATATGAAAGTCTGCTAAGAAGTGTTTACCACAACTGTTCCTCACCCGTTTCTCTCACGGAGGTAGTGTATTTAGGCTGAGTGCCCACAAAAGTATCCTGCAGAAAGCCCCACTCATTTTGCAACCCTTTCTTTTGACATTACTATAGTAGAAATAACTCTCTCCAAATTCTCATACGCTGAAAGGGGGTAGAGAGTGGGGGTAGAGAAAATTGCTCTCAAAGTCAGAGCTGCAATGTTTTTAATGTGTTAGCTAGTAGATGTTGCAGCCATAGACAAATCTCTAAAGAGACTAGGCTCTAGCGTTTAGTAGGAGTTATTTCAAGGCTTCCATATCATGTTTCTTCAACTGGAAGAAGATTCTTAATAAAAAAAAAAAAATTACCCTCCCCCACTGTCTAGCCTTTTTTTTTTTTTTTAAACACGTAATCAAGAGAGGAGGGGAGAGAAAGGAGAAAAAAACCCACCCAAAAGACACCTTAGCTGCATTTTTTCCTTTCCCCAGAAAAGGACATATAGCTCTCATATAGATTTTATCATTTTGCATGGAAGGAACCCTCTCGCTTTTTTCTTTAAGCAGCGATTCCGCCTCCACTGCTGACAAAATTCTTTCTTTGGAGAGCTGTTCTTGATTATACTCAGGATTGAAAATTTGGAGAATTTCTGTTTGTTCAATGAAAGTTTCAAAATCCATATAAGAAAATGTCAACACTAAGCAGGTTAAGAGGTGACAACAAAGCCTGAATTTAAACCACTGAATCTCAGCTGGTTACTTTCAGGAAAATCCTAAAACAAGAAAATAATTACAGAAAGCAGCTAAGGTAAGTTAAGCACAGATACCCACAATGAGGAAAAACATGCGTTAGGTACAGATAACAATAATCTGATCCACCAGAAGTTGCATCTAAAACCTTGTATTTTGGCAGGGCCAAACAAAGAGACATGCAGCGTCGCGCTCGGTTACCTTCTTGAACAGGCGCCCAGAATCTTCGCTGACCTGGACAAAGCGCGGGATGATGTTGTTCAGATAGATATCACTTAGGGTGGTGTGATCCCTGCTCTCCCGCTTCACTTGATTTAACAGGAGATTCCAGCAATTGACTGGTGAGAGCACATTCTGATCCTTCCTACAGAGGACGCAAAATAGAGACAAGAATTGGATAGGCCTTTACCTGAAGCAGACAAAACGATTCTGTTAACCAAGTTCTACATCTACAAACACGAGAAACACAGCTACAGTAGATATGGAGCTGCTGCTGAGGGAGAGGAGAGCAGAGAAAGGCGTTAAAATGTGACAGTACATACAGAAAACACGGCCTCGACTGCCCAGGGCCACGTGCTGCGGCCCCCCCAGGCAGGTCAGCCTCCAACAAGTGCGAGCTGCAGTACGCCAACGGGAGGCTCTAACTTTTTCCTTCCCAAGGTAAGAATTTGTGCCTGAACTGCAGTCCCTGAGGGAGAGCGATGGCTCCATTTCTGACAAAAGGTTTCCCAGTGCTGGCTCAGACCTTTGTGACTTAACCACAATAAAACGATTTCAAGCACCCAGTTAGTTAAACGGCATCTGCACGGGAAAAAAAACGTGATGTCTCATGTATGAGAGCAATTACGTGCAAGTAACCTAAATCTAGCCGGAGCAGAAGAGAAAGTAATATCCCTACAGAAACCTTTATGTTCTCATCTTTGGGCTTTCTGAGTCGCACTATGGCTGATTCCCCCTGCATGCACAGTTCAAAAGGGCTATTACACTTTTTTTTTTTTTTAAAGCACAAATTTATTTATTCAGAAAAGAGTAACTCCAATCTCTGGTGGAAAGCTAAAGCTTATCTCGAGATTGTACCAGATGCTTTTCCCCCTAAGACAAGTGGATGCAATTCCCACCAAAAAAAGGAAATATTCTAACCTAAAAGGACAGTAAACTCTGCTGCAGGAAGACATTACTAAAACGTAGAGAATTAAGCCACGGCAGACTTTCACTGCCCTTCTCATAGGATCAAGGGTTGCATCTGCAGTGCAATATGGACAATTTTAAGAGAGAAAAAAGAATAGTTTCAAAACAGCTGATTTTGACATTTTGTTTATTTTCCTTTTTAAAAAAAAAAAAGGAAAAAGCACAGGAAATGACTGCTGCTTGTGATTTGGACTGCTTCAAGGTTTGTAGTGTGTGTATACAGTGGGAGGAGGCAGAAAAGAGATTCTGGGCTTCTGGTTCTCCTGGTGTTTTGAATAGAAAAAAAGAATAAAATGTGAGAGGGCAGAGATTTTATTTAGAGATAATATTTGCCTTTGTCGTCTTATGCTGTGCACTGCAGATACTGCTGACCCAGGCAAAAACAGATAGAATAATCAAAATGCAGAACTGTGCAAGGTTGAAACTGCCAGATGTTAAGCCCTATAAAGCAAGTGCTCGCCCCCCACAACTCCTGCAGTCGCTGTTTGCGGCATACGGCCTGTTTTGTTAACGTGCAGAGAGCGAACTGGGAACCCCAAGGCTCTGCTGACAGAATCGGTGCCTCTCGAACCTACCGGCGCTGACCACAGCGTGGCCGGTCCTCCAAGGGCACGCGCCCGGATCAGTATTGTGTGCTCTGACTTCTGCTGAAACCTGAGATAAAAGCTTCTACCACAAAGTAATATGCACATTAAGCTCTTCATTTTTATTTTAAATGTAGCTGACAAGAACCAAACCCCAACTTTCTCCCAATAAAAAGTAGAGGAGGAGGAGGAGGAGGAGGAGGAAGGGAATCACTAGAAAGAGCTCTTCCAAGTAGCAGCACTGGTCCAAGTCGTACACGCTATCAGCTTTCCTGGAACAAGAGCCACCATCTGGACCAACAAACCGCGTTTCAGAGAGAAGACAGGAAGCAAACTAAATCAGGATACTATTATAGCTGGTTGAAAATAAAGGTTTAGAAGGACAGTATTAAGGGATGTTAAAATTTAGTTGGTTTGCTCCTTTCCACCAAAGATATCAAAGTATTTTATATATTGGATTAGTACCTGTCCTCTAAAAGCTCGAAGAGCTAGAGCAAATGAAAAGGAAGCAACTACCATAACAAAGCTAGGAATAAAACCGAGGAAGAGAAGCTAGGATCCTCTACTACTCGCTCTACGTGTTAGAAAACCTGTCCCAATATTTTGCCCCTTGACCGTTTTCATAAGCCTAAACACAGCCGCAGATCTCCTCGAAACGGCCAGACGCAGCCCAGCTGCGCGCAGCTGCTAATTCGCCACATCTTTGTGCCGGTCATCGGCACAAAATGCCAACCCAAAGACACTCAGCTATCTGACCCTTACTATCTCCCATCGCTGCTTCTATCCTGTTCTGCATTTTCAAAAACACTGGGAACACAGGGATAAGTGATCAGTTCTATACCGTCTGGAAGAGAATAATAATAAAAGAGTAACCTCCAATAACATGGGGCTTCTCGCTCTATACATGGGCCAATATTGGCTCTTAAGTTACGCTATCTACTCCAGTAATAGCGCCTGGCTGTTCCTCGGATGCCTGCTATTCCCGCACCTTTCCAGCCTCGCTCCGACTCGTTTGGGAGAGCTGCCAGCAGCAGGGACGAGGGGTTGTAACCGCAGACAAGAACGCATGCAGGAGACGGGAGCGCAGCGTGGTTAATGTGCCTTGCTTTCAAAAAAAAAAAAAAAAAAAAAGAGGCACAAAGGGAAAACAGAAGAGATGCAATAGTTAACCGGACAATTCCCAGCTGTCCAAGCTGCCGTACCACAACGGCCGGAGCTATTCTAAGGCAGCACATAGCACAAATACCAAGAGCCCATGAAAAGTATGGTGAGTAAAACTGCTGGTGTCTAATGGCGCCAGATAGGTTGTTGACACACTCCATGTGGTTAAACATGAAAGGTCATCTTGCAGGAAAAAAATAATCCCCAGCCCCACGTGATCCTAGTTTGTGCCTGGGATTGTCACCTTAAGGTCTGTGCAGCCAGTGCCGCACCCTAATCTCAACCTCATGCAACCACAGCTCGGTGCTCTTTAAGATTTTTCTTCTAAATTCCTTTAATTTCTTACTGTCTGTTGGTTTTGCTAACCCCTTCAGTGCCTTCTTAGAAGTCTGTCTTGCTTTTTACAGCAAGAGAGAAATACAAGAAAACCCTCCCCGGCGTTATTTGTCAGTGACAGTTTTCTTAGCACTGGCAAAAAGAAGATGAAGGTAGTCGTTAAGACGAGCTGCACAGAAAGGAAAAGGGAAAAGGGGCAGTTACTTGTTTCAAAACTTCCAAACTGCCTTTAAACCGCACATACATTAATTGTTAAGCCACCTCTAAAAATGCAGCTTTTTCTGGGGTGGAACACGGCAACAGTTTTCACAACACAGAGCAGAAGTTATACAACTGTTTACAACAGACCATTTTCAATCATAACCACAAGCAGATGGCAGAGAAGCAAATTGTGATTTTCATTAACAATTTCAATTCTCAAAGGAGCTGGCAAATATACTCTGCTTCCAATTTCTTGTCACTACAGACAAAGGATCAAAAAGAAAAAAAATAGTGCAACAGTGATCCCTGTTTATAATCACGAGCAAGCTCAATTTCCATAGTCCAGACTCCACAGAATGTCCAAAATCGGTGTTCTCTTTTTGAGGACTAAGATCAATGAAATCAAACCAAAACTTTCCCAAAGCTGTGGTAATTCACATCCAGAACAAGTGTCACTTCCGATTCGAGCTTCTCCACAATGAGAGGAGGAGGAAGAAGATGCCAACATCCAGGTTTATTTTGAGCACTATTTATGCAAGTTTAAAGATCGTGTGATGATAGTGAATCTGGAGAGCTTATTTAGGTTAGCCTAAATTACACCAGATCACAGCAACTGGGGGCGCCTGGGAGCAGGAAGAGGAAGTTGTGCACGGATTTTTCAGGAACCGCAGAGAATGAAGCTCTGTGGTTTTTAGAGCGTTATCTTGATGAAGTCCTGTGCTACTTCCACTTCAAAGGTTTCAGTTGGTCTCAAAAGATCAGAAGAGAAGATTGAGCCCAAGTATCTGAAATTTCTTAATTAAATTACTCATCACACAAGGAACTCGCACTTTCCTGCGAGCAGGAGGGAGCAGCAAAGGCCAGGACACTCCAGCTGTGTGCCTCAAGGTAACCTCATTCAGGCCAACAACCGGGGCGGGGGAAGTTGGTGGACATTAACTTGCTCCAGCGCTGAACAAATAGCAGCCTTGAGGATTTTACATAGTCAAAGTAGTAACTAGAAGCTTTTAAACTTCATTTCTGCCCATCAGATTAAAAGATAGCCATCACACCTACCTTGTGCAAGACACCAAGCAGATCAGAAGACATCAATAAACTGTCCACGTTAGCCTTGTTTTCCTAAAGTTTCTAACATAAGCAACACTGACAAATCTCTCTCAGTAGCAGCAGCCATATGATTTCAAATATATACAGAAAAAATGCTTATAACTTAGTGCCACTAACCATACTTCTCCCCAAACAAATGAAATTTTAAATGCTTCCAAGCGAGGAAACCAGGGAGACAGCACCTCTTTGGAAAGACGTCAGGCTTTAACGCCCGCTGCTCAGGTCATGCTTAATCTGCTTCCTCCACGAGCTTATGCAATGCTTTAGCACATCAAATGCGGCATAGAAAATATTTGTAACGCTCCTGATAAACAAACGTGCCTGAGGAGTTTTTCTCTTCTGGACACAACCCGGAACAATGATGAAAGCAAAGTCTCTCAGCAACACAAGCTTCGCTGCTCAGATCGGGCAGCTAGCTTGAAGAGCCTGGGAATTTTGAGATCTGCCTCCATCTGCCACATACACACAAAAATGAAGTTTCCAGTTGCACCTCCCCTCCCCCCAGAATATTTGGGATCTGTTGCCCTGCGGTATGCAACAACCGCATCTAAACTCGGTACATCCTGAAATAGCCACCAGGATCTGGCGACTTGAGACTCTTTCAGCCACTTCCCGCTAATTTCAGCGTCGCTGTAGTACCTACTGCCTTCCGCATCTCAGTAGCCAGCTGTAGAGCTTTACGGCACTCGTGCTACGCAGTCCTGACCTTGTTATCAGCCCACCTGAACCATCTACTAAATTAGACTGAAGTTGAAGGGAGAGATGAAAAGAAACAAAGTTATTTTCA